TTTGTGTTATGGTCATCCCCCTGGAGGATGATTTTTCGCTTTCTGTCTCTCCTTCTTTCTGGCAAATGCATACACCCTTTAGCAAAAATTTCTTCTTCTTCTTTTTTTTTAGGGAGGTTTTTGCTATAGGGCGTATATACTTACCAGAAAGACAGGGAGAGACAGAGAGACAGAAAGTGAGAAATCACCCTTCAGGGGTGGTTGGCCATACCACAGTTCCTTTTCCTCCATTCTCCTCTTGGGATCTTGGGCAGGTACGCACATGGGTCTGGGGTGAGTTTAAGCCACCAGGCCCAAGACTCGAACCGTGGTTGACTACATGAGTCCAGCAACATAGCCATTATGCCAACTGCTGGTCCCGCAAAAATTTCTTAAAAAGTAAAAGATCTATTACATAGAATTCATATAACTTTTTAAATTTTATGATTTCTGGGCCAGCAGATGGCTTGGTGGTTATGTCTCTGGACTCTCACATGGCTAACTGTGGTTTGAGTCCTAGGCCTGGTGGCTTGAAACTCGTGCCAGGTATGTATGCCTGCGTGCCCAAGATCCTGAGAGGAGAATGGAGGAGAAGGGAGTGTGTCATGGCCATCCCTCCTGGGAAGTGATTTCTCACTTTCTCTCTTACTATCTCTCTCTGGTGAGTGTATATGCCCTAAGGTAAAACAAAACAAAACAAAACAAAACAAAACAAAACCCTTTAAAAATTTGCATTATTTCTGACTAGCAGATTGTGTAAGGATTATGTCAATTCAAGTCCTGGACCCAGTGGCTTGAAACTCACACTTGGCATGTGTGCATGCATGCCCAAAATTCTAAGAGAAGAATGGAGGAGAAGAGATTGTGACATGGCCATCTACCTTGGGAGTGATTTCTTGCTTTCTGTCTCTCTTTTCCTCCAGTGAACACACATGTCCTATAGCAAAAATCTCTCAAAAATTATTTATTATTAAAAATTATTTATTATTTACATTTAATTATTATACATCTTTATAGCATACAATATTGTTTTTCAAAGCATACATACAATGAGTGACAAATCAGGGACATTATCATATACGTAATTTTCAACACAGAACTTTACATTCTTTTTTTAAAAAAGAAATTAACATTTATTTACTTACTCATCTGTTTATTTGTTGTGATTTTCATGCTACTGGGTCTGGGTCTTGAAGCACATCAGCCATGTGGGAATCCAGTACCCTAACCAATGTGCCATCTGCTGGTCCCAGAACTTTACTTTCTTGAATCTGTTTTAAAATGTTTCTCTGAGCCCTTTCCACACACTCCCTACTCAGCACTTACCTCCTCTGTAGTCTCTGGTATCTACACTCGTCCTCACTACTATTATATCTTTGAATCTTTCAATTTCTTGCATAGAGTACAGACATTTGTTATATATATGTATTGAGTGGGGACATGCAAAGTTTGTCTTTCATAGTCCAGCTTATTTTGCTTAGCATTAAACCTTCTATACTCATCCACTTTGTATTAAGCAAACAGGGTCTTATTGTACTTTTTAAAAATAATTATTTTATTAAACTTTATTTATTTTATTTATGTATTTATTTATTTTAATTTGACCAGAGAGGGACTGTGTGTGTGTGTGTGTGTGTGCGTGTGAGAGAGAGAGAGAGAGAGACAATGAGAATGAGGAAGCAAGCTGCCAGGTCTTGGACTTGAACTGCGGTCAGCCATGTGAGAACTGAGCACCCTTAACCACCTGCTGGACCTTTGTCCTTTATGGCTGAGTTGTATCCCATACTGTGCCACAGTTTTTCAATTCAGTCATTAGTTCCTGGGCACTTAAGTTGATTCCATGTCTTAGTGATTAATATTGCAATAATCATGGATGTGCAAATGTCTTTCCAAGTGTGTTTTCATATTACAGGTTAATACTGAGGAGTGGAATTACTGGGTTGTACAGTAGTTCTAGTTAAAAGTTTTTGAGGAACCTACAAATTATTTATCACATTGGCTGTACTAATTTGCATTCCTAACAACAGTGTAGGAGGGTTTCCTTTCACTGCAGCCTCGCCAGTGGTTGTTATAACAAATTTTAAGATATAATAGAATAAGTAGTGAGATGAGAGTCCAACCCTAGCACATACATTCTTTTGCAACCTTTGTGAAAATGAATCAGTAGCTAGCAGCCTCATTTTAAAAGAATTATTTTTATTTAATTTTATTATTATTATTGTTGTTGTTGTTGTTGTTTTAATTTGACCAGAGAGAAAGGGAAAGTGAGAAAATAAGTTACCAGATTGGGGATTCAAAGCACACTTGGCCATGCAGGAATCCAGCGCCTTAACTACTATGCCACCTTCTGATTCAACTAGCAGCATCATTTACGGTCAGAATATAGCAATACCATTTTCATGGTGATGTGTTTTTTATTATCCCATATTGTCAGTTTCCTTACCTTTGAGTTCTTGCAGCTCTCTTCAACTGGGAAGAAATATGGTAGCAACAGGGACTTTCTCATCCATCCTCTCCTCATTGCCAAATAATAAGGAGTCACGGTGACTCATGGAATGCCATGTGGATTGCAGAGCGGTGGAGGTGGCCATCTTTAACCACTGTGTGACTTCACCTGACTGTTCACTAGATTAAAATTACACCTATGAAGTGCGTCCTTTCATGATTACAACAGTGAAATTCGTGCCTTATTATTATTGTTGTTGTTGTTGTTGTTTTAATTTGACCAGAGAGAAAGGGAAAGTGAGAAAATAAGTTACCAGATTGGGGATTCAAAGCACACTTGGCCATGCAGGAATCCAGCGCCTTAACTACTATGCCACCTTCTGATTCAACTAGCAGCATCATTTACGGTCAGAATATAGCAATACCATTTTCATGGTGATGTGTTTTTTATTATCCCATATTGTCAGTTTCCTTACCTTTGAGTTCTTGCAGCTCTCTTCAACTGGGAAGAAATATGGTAGCAACAGGGACTTTCTCATCCATCCTCTCCTCATTGCCAAATAATAAGGAGTCACGGTGACTCATGGAATGCCATGTGGATTGCAGAGCGGTGGAGGTGGCCATCTTTAACCACTGTGTGACTTCACCTGACTGTTCACTAGATTAAAATTACACCTATGAAGTGCGTCCTTTCATGATTACAACAGTGAAATTCGTGCCTTCCCCGAATTGAGATTGAGATCAATGTTTGGCGCCCTGGTGTTTCATTTGAATGCTTTTCTCTCATTCTCAGCTTTAAAAGCTGGTATTATGTAGTCATTTTATTTTAGACAGAATCTTGGTTATCAATGTAATAAAAGAAACATGAATTCTTTGTAAGTCTTAGGTATTTCTTGAAATGCAGATTCCCAGAGACTCTGATTCAGTAATCTGAGCTAGAGTCCAGGAGACTGCATTTTTAGCAAATAACCTAAGTGAATTTGTGTAGGTATAGGTGTGGGTGGTCCTCAGGTCAGACTTAGAGAGATACTGAGGTAGAGACAAATTCTACTGGATCATTGGAAAACTCATAATGAATTTTTATATAGAATAACATGGGAAAATGTCATGACTTTCTCAATGTCCCAGTAATTTACCTCAGGAGACAATGTGGCATTTAGGATTAACCCCTTCACCCCCTGCAATTGGCAAAATTTGTGAATTTGGTGAGCTGTTTAACAGCTTGGTGCTTCAATGTCCCTATCTACGCAGTGGGGTGAAAATGATATCTTCCTTATACGGTTGTAATGAGGATTAAATAAACAAATGTATTTAAAGAGCCTGGACATAGAGAACTTGTTCAGTAAGTATTATTAATATTTTATCCTGTGACCTTAATCCAAATTATTTAATCGCTTATGCACATATGAGTCACTTCAGTGCTTAGTTTATCATTCAATATTTCGCCCAGACATCATCTCCCTCAGGAGGTCTCTGCTGAGCCGTAGATTGGTCTATGCTTCTTTCAGATAGCACTGTGTACCTTTGTGTCTTCTGTCAGTGCTCTTAGTGCATCGCATTGAACATTCCTATTGCTTCCTCTCCCTCGATGCCTTTGAACTCTCGAGCACAGGAACCAGGTTTTACGCAAATTTGTATCATGGGCACTGAATACCTTTGGTATACACTGCCAAGCTGAGGATGTGGGTTAGCTGAAATCTGGAAAATGGATAGTTCTTAGGCTTACCTACCTGTAATGTCCCAGAGGCCAAAAGAAAAAATAGTCTTCAGAATTCAACTTGAATGGTGCTTGTGGGAGATACTGATGGGCTGGAAAATGGGAGGAAAAGGATTGCAGCATGACCAGTCCTGTTAGGACATGGTTTTTCTGACTTTCTCTCTCTCTCTCTCTCTCTCATGTCCCCTGACATAAGAAAAATTATGATTAAAAATTGGGACCAGCAGTTGGCGTAATAGCTATGCTGGACTGTCATGTAGTCAACCACAGTTTGACGCCCGGACCCAGTGACTTAAACTCATGCCGGGCATGTGTGCATGTGTGCCCAAGATTCTAAAAACACAATTGAAGGGAAGGGATTGCGGCATGGCCATCCCCCCGGGGGGTGATTTCTCACTTTCTATCTCTCTCTGTCTTTCTGGAGCGCACATGCACCATATAGCAAAAACCTCTTTAAAATACACACACACACACACACAAACGCAGAGGGGCCAGCAGATGACATAGTGGTTATGTTGCTGGACTCCCACATGACCGAACATCATTTGAGTCCTGGACCTGGTTGCTTGAAGTCACACCTGGAGATATGGGTGTGTGCCCAAGATCCCTGGAGGAGAATGGAGGTAGACTGCTGTGTGGCCATCCCTCCTGGGGGATAATTTCTCACTTTCTATCTCTCTCTCCAGCAAGCACATGTGCCCTAAGGCAAAAATCTCTAAATAAATAAAGAATCACAGGTAAGCAGAGAAGGACAAGGTCAGAGTCTCAATTATTGGGTGTCAATTCCATCTTGGTCAGTGTGTAACGTGGCTGCGTCCTAGATCCGTGGCTGACTATGTCTGTGGTTGAACATTTCCAGACCTCCAGCAGTGGAAGGCACTCCGTTCGCATCACCGGCCTCAGCACCATTGATTTCCGAGCTGGCTTTTCCCGAAAGCCCACCCTGGACTTCAGAAAAACAATCAGCAGACCAGTGCAAGGTGTGTATATAAGTATTAGTTAAATGACTATAATAAATATCCACGCCAACATTTTACAGTATTCAGTAAGATGTGAGAAGCATAGGATCCTTCCTTGAAATATGATTGTCCTCTCAGCCTAGCCCATTTTTCAGAATGGAAGTGCAAGACCAGAGCTATCAAAATCACTAAGAGCTTGTTGAAAATAAGAATTTCTAGGCTCACCACAGATAACCCGAATTAGAGGCCCAGAAGGAAGGACTTTAGTGAGCACACCTATTGATTCTTCTACTTACTGCACTTTGAAAACTACTGAAACCTAGATTTTTCAGCTAGATTTTAAAATTAAAGTCTAGAAATTCCCTTGTTGTCAAGGTCAGATGTGTATAAATAGCTGAAAAATTACAGATACTATCTATTATTTTATTTTCAAAGGTAAAATTATCGCTGATTTTTTAAAGCCTGTTCTTTCTCTTATTTTATCTATACATTAGGATTTATCTTTTTTTTTTTTAGAGGGGTTTTTGCTATAGGGCATGTGCACTCACCAGAAAGACAGAGAAAGAGAGCCAGAAAGCGAGAAATCACCACCCCCACCCCACCCCCAGCGGGGATGGCCACGCCACAATCCCTTCTCCTCCATTCTTCTCTTGGGCATGCACTGGGCCTGAGTTTAAGCCACTGGGTCTGGGACTTGAACTGCAGTCAACTACATGGGAGTTCAGTGACATAGCCATTACCCTAACTGCTGGTCCCAGGATTTATCATTTTAAAGATAAGGGAAACTTGGATTATACTGTGATCCTTAAAATTTGTGTTTTTTTCTGATCACTTTTAATTTATTCCTATTGCTGCAGTTTCTGGAAAGATAGAAAGGAATGAATTTTTAAAATTATAATGTGGTCAAATGTTCATGTAATATTCAGTGTTCTAATTTTTCTACGTATAAACATAGTTAAAACGCTATAAAGTTATTTCTTAGGATTTTCTAAGTTTCTCTGGTCATGCATAAACCATTTTTATGGACAAAGATTCTACAACTGGTTCAGAATTTGTAGAATTCTGAACTTAGTACTTACCCATTTTTATGATGCAAATGTGTATTTGATATATAACCTCGATCACATGTTCTTTGTAAATAATAGCAAAGTCTTTCTCTTGTAGGAATTCCTACCTATGTGCTGCTGAATACTTCTGGAATTTCCATTCCAGCGAGAGTGGATCGTCTTGAACTTCTAAGTATCTCGGGCAGTTCACTAAAGACTATTCCTGTGAAATATCACCCAGATCGAAAACCTTATGGCATATGGAATATTTCTGACTTTATACCACCAAGTGAAGCTTTCTTTTTGAAAGTAACAGGTTATGATAAGGATGATTATCTCTTCCAGAGAGTATCAAGTGTTTCCTTTTCTAGTATTGTCCCAGGTGAGAACTCAAACTTTTAAAGAATTATTTATTTAATTTTATTAATTAGTATTATTATTTAAATTTGACCAGAGAATGGCAGAGAGAAAGAGAGAGAGAGAACGGGAAAGCAAGAAAGCAAGATCTGGGACTTTAACTGCAGTCAGCCATGTGGGAGTCCATGCGGCACATTAACCACCATGGGCCCGAAACCTCATTTACACACACACACATACACACATACACATACACACATATATATTATATGTGTGTATATATATATATATATATATAAGATATAGATATAGATATAGATATAGATATAGATATAGATATAGATATAGATATAGATATAGATATAGATATAGATATAGATATAGATATAGATATAGATATAGATATAGATATAGATATAGATATAGATATAGATATAGATATAGATATAGATATAGATATAGATATAGATATAGATATACCACTCAGAGAGCTTGCTAAAAATAAGGATTCCTGGGCTCACCACAAAGTGCCTGAATTAGAACTCCAGAAAATGGGGCCTAGGAATATATACTTTAGTGAGCACCCCTGTTGATTCTTATTCTTACTGAATTTGGAAACTACTAACCTGACATTTTGGTTAAATGGCCTAAATCGTCTAAACATTTATTTATGATTGTCAAAAACTTTTGCTCTACGAAGAGTTATTCATTCTGAATAACCAAAGGATGTTCTGCTTTTATTGGCTAGCTGGTTGGTTAGTCGATTGGTAGGATAGTTACCTATATATTTGGTATTATCTAGACATGAGATCACAGATTAGGGATTATTTAGAAGCATAAAAGCATTTCATCATAACTGAGCTATTTTTCAAAGCTGATGATGAACTTGGAGCAGGACTTCAGAAGTAGAGTTGAAACCACGAACTGACAAAGCTAACTGAAGGATTGTTTCTAAAACTGTGCTATGTTTGGGAGAGGGACAATTTATCATTTATGCCTAAGGTTGTGATATAGAAGATTCAGGAACAACGTCATAGCTATTGTTTTATAGATGGAGAATGGTGGAAATAGAAACGTCAGTATTTCCTCCTTTACAATATTCAAAGTAGTGGGTTTAACTCCTAAACTGAATGCTACAAAATCTATTGGATTCTTAAAAATCATTTTTTTCCCACTTTTTTGGAGAAAACAATGGCCCTAAATATTTGATTCTAACAAATGTGAATTCTTTTCACATTTTTTACTTTTTTTTTCGGAGATGTTTTTGCTATAGGGCGTGTGCGCTCTCCTGAAAGACAGAGAGAGACAGAGAGATAGAAAGCGAGAAATCACCCCCTAGGGGGGATGGCCACGCCACAATCCCTTCTCCTCCATTCTCCTCTTGAGATCTTGGACTCGTGCGCACACGCGCCTGGAGTGAGTTTCAGTCACCCGGTCTGGGACTCAAACTGCGGTCGACTACATGGGAGTTCAGCGACTTAGCCATTATGCTAACTGCTGGTCCTGACATTTTTTACATTTTCTAAATTAAAATATATTCTATGATTGATGATAGATGGCAATTTATTTGGTAGCCTTTTTTTTTTTTTTTTCTGTCTTGGTGGTTCAAAAAGATTATGTGTTGTAAAATCAATGGAGTCTTAGATTCAGTCAATACCATGAGAAAGATCCATGGAGATACCCAGAAATGAATTCGTTTTGAATAAATAATTAAATACAGTTAAAGTAATATTTAGTGATTTGGGTTGATTGGAATGCAGGGATGTACTGGAATAACTTAAGAATGAAGTTTTGAATGGGTTAGCAGGAATATCCAATGTCATTGTGACCTTTTTTCTGTTTTTTTTTTTTTTTTTTTTTTCCCTCTAGATGCTCCCAAAGTTACAATGCCTAGGAAAATCCCAGGATACTACCTGCAGCCTGGCCAAATTTCCTGCTCTGTTGAAAGTCTTTTGCCCTATACCTTGAGCTTTGTCAGAAACGGAGTTACCCTTGGAGTAGACCAGTACTTAAAGTGTGTAAATGTTTTTAATCAGTAAAAATGTATAGCATTGAACATATAAATACAAATAGATATTTATTTTGATGTATTTCTTGATGGAGATTGTCATTTATTTATTTCATAGTCTCAAAATATGGTAATGAGTAAACCACACAGCTTTATGTCCTGGTAAACCTTATACCATAACAGAGAGAGACAGAACACAGATAATAATGTAATATGATCATATAATAAATGCCAGAATATATTTAAGGGTTAACTCAGGTTTTATAGAACCTAAAGTTTTTGTAATTTCAGACTCCTTTGTTAAGGCAAAGAATATGGAATTATGAATAAAATGTTAAATACCAATCCTCGGAAGTAGACTTTGTGAAAGAGAGACCCTCAGGTTTTAGCTTTATTGGATTCAGGGTACAAAATGTCTCTGAATCTGATTTAAAGTGTTATGATAAGTGAATATGAAAAGTGTTATGGCAAAAAAGTAGTGCAGGTTAATTGCGGCAAAAATTGCTAGTTGGTGGAATGTTTGTGGTTTTGACTAAATTGCAATTTTTAAAATTCAGAGTTGGGGCATTTTAACAAAGCTCTGAAGATGACAAGAGAACTGGTCAACCAGAAATCCAGAAAAGAGCGTTCACACACCAGGAAGTGCAAGTGCCAGTGCACAAGGTCTTAGTGCACTGGGAATGTGGGGAAGGAGGACGGGAAGGAAGGAAGCCAGTGTGGCTAAAGTCTAGTGGGCCTGAAGGAGAAGGGCCAAAGATAAGGGCAGGGAGGTTCTACATGTGCTGCGAGTTGGGGTTCAAGGTAGACCATAAGCCTGTGTGGCTCATGCACTTAACAATCAATGGAAATGGGCCAGAGGGTACCTATTTTCCATTGCAGAGTTGGGTCACATTTTTGAACAGTTATGAGTAATGTAGTGATAAAAATTAAGCAAAACTTGAAAGTTAGAGGAAAATGATTGGTGGGAAGTGTTTTTTAACTACTATGAAATAAGCTACATTTTGGAAAAACTCTGGGAATTATTTTATGAAACTTTTTGCACTGTTCACATTGCGCTTCAATATTAATGCATCCTTTTAAAAGATGTTACATATTTGATAATTTTACCTTATGCCATTTCTTTTTTTTTTTGGAGAGATTTTCACTGTAGGGCACGTGCGCTCGCCAGACAGACAGAGAGAGACATAGAGACAGAAAGCGAGAAATCACCCCCCCAGGGGGGATGGTCACGCCGCAATCCCTTCTCCTCCATTCTCCTCTCGGGATCTTGGGCACGCACGCACACGCGCCCGGCGTGAGTTTTAAGCCACCGGGTCCAGGACACGAACCGCGGTTGACTATGTGGGAGTCCAGCGACATAGCCATTATGCTAACTGCTGGTTCCCCCTTATGACATTTCTATACTAGGGATCATTTTAAGTAAAACTTATGGTAGGAGAGTTCATTACTTTAAAAAAAATTCTGATTTCCTAAAGCTTGAACTTTATTATTTTCTATTCCTTGTTTTATTTATACTGTATAACTCAATGACTTACTTGGCTGCATATTTAATAACCAGCAACATAGCTGACCAGGATATCAAATGACGAAGCTATTAATACATAATTTTGTGATGAAATTAAACAACAAGCCATCTTCATCTTTAATTAGTAACACTTTTCAAAGACACTTGAGAGTTTTTATAAACATTCATTCATTAATTCCACATAGTTCCTGGGAGGTAAACCACAAGAATCTTTTTCTCATTTTTCCAGCTTTGTGGCCCAGAGATATGACATGTGAAGCTGATGTGTATCAAGCTCTTTGATGAGAGAGGGGAAAACAAAATCAGGCATGGGTGATGACAGACTGACACCCTAATCCTGGTTCATGCCCATGTCTCTGCTCTAGATTTTCTGATAACATGAAACATGTGACAGTGTTTGTTTATGTCAATCATTTTGGTCACCAGGGGATGTAGGAGGGAATCAGTTTGTATTAGCAGCAGGACACATTTCTATCTGATGCATTCATTCTTTTCCCTATTCCAAAGTTCATTTCTTCAAAACTCTTTAAGTTAAGGCCATGTAGTGTTTAATGTCAACTGAGAAGGCCATGTGAAAGAGAATCTTTTCATGTTCTAGTTCATAAAAAAGAGACAGGCAAATATAACTGTATAGAACATTCTTCAAGTAAACGGGTTGATTATGTGCCTTTGAACAAATCACTTTCTGGATTTTAACTTTCACATATTTTAAAATGGAGGGTTTTGGAACTCGGAAATTGCCACTTTCTGTTCTAAAATCTCTTTGTTGTTGTTGTTTTTTTTTAATTTGCTAAAGGGCACGTATGCTCACTGGAGAGAGATGAGAGAGAGAGAGAAAATGAGAGAACACTCCCCAGGAAAGATGGTCATGTTGTAATCCCTTCTTTATTCTCCTCTCAGAATTTTGAGTATGCATGCACATGTGCCTGGCATGTTTTTTGAAGCGCTGGATCTGGGACTCAAACCATGTCATCAGCCATGTGGAATTCCAATGGCCTCAGCACCACACCACTGTCTGGACCCTCTTGAGTCTATTTTTGATGGATCCTAATATATGCTTGGCTCTGAAGTAGACACTTCAGAAAATACCAAATATTTACATAATCCAGATTCCTACCTTTCTGATCTTACCAATACCTCTTCGACAATCAATGACATTTACAAACTTCTGTTTAGTATACTACCATTAAGCATTGTAGACCCAGAGAACGTGATCGGTAATGTACAGCCAAGTGATGCTCCTCTGTCTTCTGTGTGTGACGCGAAGGACCGCTGGCATGTAGTACGTTCAAAATAGAAGGTACACAGTGTGAGCTGAGTATTCTCAGCCCCTTAAATCTGTAGAGCAGTGACCTTGCTTAGTTGTGACTTCCTGATGGCAGGACCTGTGCCTCAGCTTGCTCTTATAAGCCCCAAGTCGATGCTAAATGCAAATTAAGAGAAAAGTCCTCCATGGTCATCTGAGGCTGGAAATGGTATGTTTGGATGGGGACAGGTCTGGAAGTATCGCCATGAGGTATGATATGTTCACCACTTTCAGACATCAGCGGAAATGATCTTGAATGCAGAAAGCTTTTTTACCTTACTTACATCTTAAATTTTGAAAAAATATCAGGAATGGCTCTAGCTAATACGAGAGAAAAATTATGAAAATATTTATGACCTTTCAACCATGTTTTTAAACAGGATAATGCCTATTTTATAAGTTATTGGACTCCTTAAAACATGGAATAGGAGACCAGCAGGTGACATAATGGATATGTTGCTAGACGCCCACATGTTGACTGCGGTTCTAGTCCCAGACCTAGTGGCTTGAAACTCATGCCAGTCACATGCACGTGTGTGCTCATGATCCTGGGAGAAGAATGGAGGAGGGATTGCAGCATGGCCATCCCCCCTGGGGGGTGATTTCTCTCTTCTTGTCCCTCTCTGTGTGTGTCTCTCTGTCTGGTGAGCGCATGTGCCCTATAGCAAAAAAAATTTCTCTCTCTCGCTCAAAAAAAATGGATTAAATATCTACTACTAAGACATTTTTAGAAAATGAAAATTGAGGGACCAGCAGTTAGCATAATGGCTATGTTGCTGGACTCCCACGTAGTTGACCACAGTTCGTATCCTGGACCCGGTGTCTTAAAACTCATGCCGGGCATGTGTGCGTGTGTGCCCAAGATCCCGTGAGAGGAGAATGGAGGAGAAGGGATTGCGGCGTGGCCATCCTCCCTGGGGAGTGATTTCTCACTTTCTGTCTCTCTGTCTCTCTTTGTCTTTTTGCCGAGTGCACGCACCTTATAGCAAAAACCTCTCTCTCAAAAAAAAAAAAAGAAAATGAAAATTGATTGGAATAGTTTAGAGGACAAAGTATAAGTACTTAATAGATAAATAATGTAGGAGAGGGTTTCTCTTTTTAACCTAAATGATAAAATTTGACTATAAAACTCATCATTTTGTTTCTCATTACATATATCTATCTATCTAGATAGATATGGTATGTAGTTCCCATGGGGCTTACACATATTTTAGAAAGTTAGAGAGAACTTACCTTAGAATGAAAAAGTTCATTTCCTACACATAAACTTATAAATTATCTGAGTGAATGGTTTGGGCTAAGGTCCCCACTGATCATGACCAAAAACTGAAAAAAAAAAAAAAAAAAGAGTTGAAAGGGAGAGGATTTAATGAGAGTTTCTTTGTCAGCTCTACTATCCCGTATTTTGACAGCCAGAAAATGTTTCCCTAAAGACATTTATAGTCTGCTTAATTTATTGTCTTTAGTGTATGTTTCTCAGAATACAATAGCTTAACTTTCTAGTTAAAATATAAAAAAGTGTGGGACCAGCAGTTGGCATAATGGCAATGTCACTGGACTCCCATGTAGTCGACCGCGGTTCGAGTCCCACTGACTTGGACTCATGCTGGGTGCATGTGCGTGCGTGCCCAAGATCCTGAGAGGAGAATGGAGAAGGGATTATGACGTGGCCATCCTTCCTGGGGGGTGATTTCTTGCTTTCTGTCTGTCTATGTCTTTCTGGCGAGTGCACGTGCCCTATAGCAAAAACTTCTCAAAAAAAAAAAAATATATATATATATAAAGGTGTAATTTTAGTTGAAAAAGAACTCTAGTCTCAGCCATATAATTTCTTTGAGTTGTTCTGTAGAATAAACTCTTCGAGATAAATAGTGGAATCACTGCTTTCCACTTGGTCTGGTTTTTATAGTAAACTAAAAAGCTTTGTAATTTCTTACCACAGAGAGTCTGCCAGTGTGAACTGGGATATTGAGAAGGTCACTTTGTCGGACGAAGGTTCCTACGAGTGCATCGCCATCAGCAGCGCGGGGACTGGACGGGCACAGACATTTTTTGATGTATCAGGTAATTACTGCTAATTTCTTTCACGTGTCTTTTTTGTTGTTGTTGTTATTGTTTTTTTCTTTTGCTGTTTGTTTGTTTTGCTTTAATTTGCTATAGGGCACATGAGCTCACCAGAAAGAGAGAGAAAAAGTGAGAACACCCCCCGCACTCCCTCACATGAGAGATGGTCATGCCACAGTCCCTTGTCCATTCTCTTCTTGGGATTTTGAACACACATGCACACACACCCAGTGTGTTGTTTGTTTTGTTTTTTGGAGAGGGTGTTTGTTTGTTTGTTTGTTTTTGCTATAGGGCGCGTGCTCTCGCCAGAAAGACAGAGAGAGACAGAGACAAAGAGCGAGAAATCGCCCCCCAGAGGGGAGAGCCATGCCGCAATCCCTTCTCCTCCATTCTCCTCTCGGCATCTTGGGCACGCACGCACATACGGCCAGCGTGAGTTTAAGCCACTGGGTCTGAGACTCAAACCGCAGCTGACTACATAGGAGTCCAGTGACATAGCCATTATGCCATCTGCTGGTCCCCCAGATAGTATGTTTTTGAAGACTAGATGAGAGGCGAGGTACATTTTCTTTTATAAGGTAAAATACATTAAAGTGAAAGAAATAAGCCCAGCCAGGGAGTGCAGTTGGTAGCAAACTGAACTGCTGTGCTGGAGACCAGGTGGTCGACTACAGGTTCAGATCCCTAAGCCAGCTGGAAAAACATGCCGGACGCGTGTGCAAGTGCCCAAGGGCCGGATGAGCTGGAGAGACAAAGGGGGATCATGGCATCACAAGACTCCATTGAGGGTATTTCCATCTCTCTCTCTCTCTGTTTCAGGAGCATGCTTATACTCTATCTTAAATAGAAAATATTATAAAAAGTGAAAAAAATGTTTTCCTCTAATCTCAGACTTCTTAGGAAAAGGTGACTACTTTATAAAATGAATAATCATGGTCAAACCACTTATTCACCACTTATCTGTAATTTATTGGAAATTTTATTTTAACTGGATTACTTTCCACTGGTCTTGTCGAGTAGGGTTGCTGTATATTTAGTAGTAACGTATTCTACTATCTATCTATTAAATCCCTAAATCTCTCTGCTGCTGAATTTATAACTTTGTATTTACTCTTAGCATTGCTGTGCATTTTCTTGAGACAATTTAAGGCGAAAGCAGCTTCATGATTCATGACAGCTTAGACGCCTAGAATTTGTCACTTTTGTTATCAGAAAATCCAAACTGAACTGGAAAACAGAGGCATGTGTTCAAGCAAGCATGTTCTTCTTGAGCAAAACTATTGTGTTCTCGTAAGCACAGAAAAATAACGTTTGTCTGCTGAGACTGTAAGTTGACATCCATCAGAAACTATTCATTTTTTCTCATCTCCAGTAATTATGAAAAGCACTGGAATCATGTCAACATTCCTCAGCTTCTGGGAAAACAGACACTTGAGCAATTGAGCCCTTTTCCCAGCGATATTAAGAGAAGAACAGGGAGAGAAGCTGGAGTGAGCTGATTTAGACACGTTGCACACATAACGGGACGTGTCCTTAAGAACGTGTGAGCGGACCGCTCAGGGTGCGGCTCTGCAGTGACAACAGCTTCCCTGTCATGTCCTGTGCATGGCCGCCTAGGATTTGCCTGTGCCAGCCAGACAAAGGTGTAACTAGGGAACTGCATGGTGCTCACTAGTCTTCAAGGACTGTTACCCACTCAGTTATGCAAGAAGGGGGCGGGACCAGCAGATAGCGTAATGGCTACGTCACTGAACTCCCATGTTTCTGACTCGACCGCAGTTCGAGTCCGGACCCAGTGATTACGAGAGGAGAAGGGATTGCAGCGTGGCCATCCCCCCTGGGGGGTGATTTCTCGCTTTCTGTCTCTCTGTCTCTTTCTGGCGATGTACGCGCCCTCTAGCAAAAACCTCTCCAAAAAAAAAAAAAGAGAAGGGGCAGAAGCGCTGCTGTGATGTTAGCAGTGACTGCAGTAGAAGTAACGAGCACGTGCACCTGTGGGTGTGAAAGAGTGGGCATTTCTTCACGGGCTGGCTGTTGCCTCACATGCCCCCTTTTGCCCCTCCTGACCTCTGAATTCCTCCTCGCCTCAGCTGAGGTCCCAACTCAGACACTCTACTGTGCTAGACTCAGCACAAATTCACAGGATAATTAGGTCTTCTATGTTCTCAAAGAGTGTCAGGAAACAAAGCATTATGGGAGAGTGTTGTTCTCGTGTTATTGTGGATATGATTTTTATTTTTGAATCAAAGATCATCCAAAAGCAGTTTAAAGAAGAGTGAAGTTCTACTGGTATGTCACCTCATTTTTTTTAATAGCATATAATTGGTCTAAAAATATTTCTAATTGACATGTTTAAGAATTTTTGGTTTATATGAAATGTCAATTATTGATCATTTAAAATAGGAAATGGGTGTAGAAAGCATTGTGTCTATGTTTTATTGAATATGAATAGAATAGCAGAAGCATGAAAAATGAATTCTTTCCTAGTGGTATTTGGTCATTTTGTTTAATGTTGTTAGAAAGTTATAGTAATTTTTCTACTAAAATGTATATTCATTTAGTGTCCCTCACTTAGTACACCCCTCGTGCATGCACACACACACACACACACACACATACACACACACTACTAAAATTCTGGGTTTAAGTAAAATTCTGAGTACAGAAGAATTGCCAAGGGCATGCCAGTGACAGAAAATCTTAGATTACAGGATATTCTTTTAAAATGGGGTAAGACTGGGAAATAATGTGACACCAGCTCAGTACTTTATAATTAAAGAAACAAAAACTCAGAATAAGTAGGTGACTCATTTATGCTGAGATGGGTAGGTAGGTAGGTAGGTAAAAAGAAGTGGATTCCCAGCCTCCTGACTCTCAGTCCAGCGGTCTTTACTAAAGTACCAAGGCCTGCTTCATCTGCCTCCCTGAGTATTGAGGCTCCCTCTCCATTGCCCGAATCCTACCCTCAGTCGTGTTGAGTAATGGAGATGTCACAAGTTTATGGGAGAATGGAACTAACGTACAAGTTTATTTTGGTGCAAAAATGTTTTAAAGCCCATTTGTAAGTTTTTTTTTTAATTAAAAACATTTTTTTTTCATTCCATGAGCTTTTTTGAAGACCCTCTTATATTTCCAGGACCAGGTTATTTCTGGTAATTTGTAATCTTGGCTTCCTTTACAAACTGATGTCATTGTTTCTCACCACTTCCTCACCTTCACCACATTTATTCACAGATGTATAAATATTCAGTGTGTATATTCTTATTATATCCAGGTGTTTCAACAGTGCTGGTAATGTATGAGAGGGTTTCCAAAAGTTCATGGGAAAAATGGAATTATAGTATGAGTTTATTTTGGGACAAAAGAGTTTTGAAATCCATGCATAATTTTTTTGGCATATGCATGTTTGGTGAACCTTTTGGAAACCCATTAGTTCACATTTCATTTTGCTTGTGAATGTTATTAGAAAGCTGACATTTTTTTTTTTTTTTTTTTTGTTTAGGTTTTTGCTATAGAGCATGTGCACTCACCATAGTGAGACAGAGAGAGGGAAATCCCCCCCCCCCAGCATGACTTTCAAGTTTCTGGGATCTGAGACTCGAACCATGTTGAGCTAAGTGGGAGTCTAGTGTCTTAACCATCGCTCCACTTGCTGGCCCTGGAGGTTGGCATTTTACTTATTTAAATTTATATCAAAAGAGGAAATAGACTCTGAGGCAGAATTTGTGTCCAAGAGGTTAGTTGGCAGGCTCTCCAGGCAAAAGCGGGAAGGGAGTGAGGGAAGTGGAAGGAGATGGCCATGACATAGTTGCAACCAGGGCCTCAATGAGCCTGCAGGGAGGTCTGAAGCTCAGCAACCTTGAACTGAGGTCAAAGAAGGCCCTGGACCTTTGTTTCCTCATTAAACTGTCCTTGGATGTCTGTTATGCTGGGAAGGGGACCTAACTTTCAGCAAGTTGGCTTGTAGGAGGGATCTAGAAGGGTCTTTAATATACCCTAATTCATGTCCCAGTTTTCAGGTACTGTCAGTAAAATTGGTTTTCAAAAGTTACTCGACTAGGGAGGGGAAGAACAAGGTGGCCTCTGATGCCAGATTCAACAAATGAAAGCACACGATACCCTTTCGAACTTGGACTTTATATATATTGGTCCCAAATACTGTATGAGACTTACTTATACTGCAGTATTATTGGATGTTGTTCTGAAATTCACATTTAACAAGGTGTCCTGTATATTTTTGTCACCGCTACCTAATCTCCATTGAATGCTTCCTAACTTTCTCGTGTGCTTCTTCCCCTAGACTCGTCCTCCATTTTCATAAGAGATTTTCACAATATAGCAGAATGACATAAACTGCTTTTTATATCATTTCTAATAGCATATACTCTGTAGAAAAGTTAAGATAACAAAGACAAATGTAACAGAAAATATTGAAAATATCGCACATACATTTCCATCGCTGAGAGATAACCCGTGCTTGGAATATCTGTTCCAACTTTTGTTTGGCTTGTGTAGTTTTAAATAGCACAGAGATAAAGTGTAATCTTGACTGTAATCTGACAAGTCTTTCATATTTAAACCACAGCAGAAACATGGATTTCCAAGTAGCCTAGATTACCACCATTTTTATTGCCATATTATTTAGAGGAGATTTGCTATAGGAGATTTTTTTTTTTAATTTATTTTTAGATTTTTTGCTATAGGGCACATGTATTCACTGGAAAGACAGAGAGACAGAAAGTAAGAAATCACCCTCAGGGGGCATGGCCATGCCACAATCCCTTCTTCACCACTCTTCTCTCAGGATTTTGGGCACGCGTGCGCACATGCCTGGAGTGAGTTTGAAGCTTCCAGGTCCGGGATTCCAACCATGATTCACTACGTGCGAGTCCAGTGATGTAATCATGCCATCTGCTGGTCACTAGGAGATCATTTTAAAGCATTTGAGCAAATCAACCAAGAAAGGGAATTTAGGTTTATACTCATAGTGAACTAGAGCAGTATTAGATTCTCTCTAGGAATGCTGGCTAAATATTTAATTAGTAATTGACTTTGACCACATGTGAAATATGCATATATTACCCAGTCTTTTGTGTACATGACTGTGTTGCACAATCTTAATAAAGGTCTGTCCCTACCATTCACTCTACCTTCTTAGAGAAAACTGTTGGCCATTCCTGCCAAAAGAACATTTCTCTTGTTCTCTTGTCATATGCTTTCCTCTTAATAAGATTGTAACAACTACTTAAGGCCGATACTGTCATATTTTTGCCATGTCTACCATTCTTTAAAATGCTAAATACATATTATAAAGGTTTTTTTTTTTTTTTTTTTTTAAAGAGGTTTTCTCTATAGGGCTTGTCCACTAGCTGGAGAGACAGGGAGAGACAGAGAGACAGAAAGTGAGAAATCGCCCCTCAGGGGGGGTGGCCACACCGCAATCCCTTCTTCTCCATTCTCTGCGCAGGATCTTGGGCACGCATGCACATGTGCCCGGCGTGAGTTTTAAGTCACTGGGTCTAGGACTTGAACCACGGTCGACTACATGGGAGTCCAGTGACATAGCCATTATACCAACTGCTGGGCCCTTAAGTTTTTTTTTTTTTTTAAAGAGGTTTTCTCTATAGGGCTTGTCCACTAGCTGGAGAGACAGGGAGAGACAGAGAGACAGAAAGTAAGAAATCATCCCTCAGGGGGGATAGACAGACTGCAAGCCCTTCTCTTCCATTCTCCTCTTGGGATCTTGGGCACACACACACACACACACACACACACACACACACACATGCACCTAGCATGAGTTTCCAGTCACTGAGCCACCTAGCATGAGTTTCAAGTCACTGAGTCCAGGCCTCAAACTGCAGTTGACTACATCGAAATCCAGTGACGTAACCATTATGCCATCTGCTGGTCTTGCTATTTTTAAAATCCGTAAATACTCCTTTTTCAAAATTGAAATAGAAAATTTGGCTTCTTCCACAGTCCTAAATCAATCTGGTCATGTCCTTTCGCCATGCATCTATTAATATGATTTATAGATTTGTATTGAGTATACTTTGTGTACACTTTTGTACATGTACACTACTTTTTCTGGTGCCTTTGATCTAGATGATAATTTTGGGGGGCTCACAGACCTGTATTGATCATTGAAATCTGTTGTGGTTGCACCTTCCCTACATTCAATACATTCTCATTAGGTTTTTAAAATACATCTGTAGGTGAGCAAAACCTCTTTTACGTCTCTTAATTTGTCTTTTGATTTCACACAGAGCCCCCTCCAGTCATCCGGGTGCCTAATAATGTCACCGTCAAATGGAAAAAAGGCGGTTCTAACGTGTCTCGTCACCAGTGCAGTGGATTACAACGTAACCTGGCAGAGGAATGACAGAGATGTCAGACTGGCAGAGCCAGCAAGAGTCAGGGCCTTGGCTAACCTCTCCTTGGAGCTGAGGAATGTGAAGTTCAGCGATGCTGGCGAGTATCAGTGCACGGTTTCCAGTGAAGGCGGGTCATCTGCTGCTTCGGTTTTCCTCACAGTGCAAGGTACCGTGCGACGGGAACTTCTGACTTGTGGTGTCCTTTTCTCTTCCTTTGCTCTCTTTCCACCCCAGTTGGCTGTCTGAGAGTGACAGTATCTACCCAGTCAATAACAGCTTTGAATAACAGAATGCTTGGGGATCCTCAGTGGCCTAAAGCTGAATATCAACTAGAAACTAAAACACCTCAAGCAATTAGGCAACTCAGATACAATTTACAAGTAATCCTACTAGTCAAAGATTTTTATCTAAAAAATATACAAAAATTGAAGCCAGCAGGTGGCATGGTGGTTAAGGCTCTGGACTGCCACTTGGCTGCCTGTGGTTCGAGTTCCTACTGGTTTACTTTCTTACTTTCTCTCTCTCTCTGTCTTTCTCTGGTCAAATTTTAAAAATAATAATAACAAATAAAAAAGAATATATAAAAAAATGCCTGGGTAATCTCAGTGTTTTAAATTTTCTAATCTATTGTATGGATTTTTTTTTTAATTCTCATTGTTTTAACAACTGTTTCAAAATTTCTTCTCAATTTAAGTACTACTATATTATGCATGTATAATTAATTTACTTTTTACTTTAAATTAAATTTAGTAACAATTTTTTAGTAATACTTTTAATTTTTTTAAAGAATTATTTTATTTAACTTTATTTATTTATTTAGTTTAGTTTGATCAGAGAAGGATAGAGTGAGAGAGAGGTAAAGAGAGTGAGAGAAAAAATGTGAAAGTGAGAAAGCAAGCCATCAGGTCCAGGACTCAAACTGCAACCGCGCATATGGGAGTCCAGCGTCCTTAACCACCACGCCACCTGCCAGCCTGATAGTTCTTTAAAAAGAGATATTTAAGGGAACCAGCAGTTAGCGTAATGGCTATGTCGCTAGACTCCCACGTAGTCGACCGCGGTTCGTGTCCTGGACCCGGTGGCTTAAAACTCACGATGGGCGCATGTGCATGCGTGCCCAAGATCCTGGGAGGAGAATGGAGGAGAAGGGATTGCGGCATGGCCATCCCCCTTGGGGGGCGATTTCTGTTTCTCTGTCTTTGTCTGTCTGGCGAGCGCACATGCCCTATAGCAAAAAACCTCTCCAAAGGAAAAAATAAAAAATAAAAAAAGAGATATTTAAGATGTTCTAGTCTTGGTGCAGTTTTGTTGAAACTTATTCATTGTGTACTCAGACACGAAAGATTGTTTATGGAAATAAATGAATGGCAATCTTGAATTGTGTCTACATAGACTAAATGTTCAGTTAGCTAAAAATAAGTATACTAGCAATAAAGTTTAATGACTACTAAGAATATCTATTATTCGGGACCATCATATGAACTTCAGAAACTACTCCAAAGTTTATTTCAGTGGAATCCTATTTGGCGTCTTCATGTTTACAGACCAGCTGGGAGTCTTAATGTAATGGGCAAATGACTGTTGGCAGGTTTTCCCTGTTAAGCTGAAAGGTTCAGTTGGTGCCTCAGCAGACTATTTCATTTTGAATCCGTGATGTGGGAAACTGATGGCCTCAGAGTTGGGTCTGGCTATTTGGTTACGGCGTAAGAAAGAACATGCCTTAAGTAATACTCAGATGAATTTCAGCAGAGTTATCAAAGAGAATGACCATGGATTTCCAAGGCTACTTTTATTAATGGCAGAAAAATGAAGCTACCATGAGAATTGACAACATGTTTGACATCTGGTTATAGTTTTCTCCCTGGTAATTGAGATGTATTCTTCAATCTGAATATGTACCTTTTGTTACTTGATCTGGTGAGCCTCCAGGGAAACATACTTTCATAAATAGTTCTCATATTTTCATCTGGTAAACGGCTAGATAATTTGAATCAATCCAATTGATAAATTGGCTTACTAGTAGAATGGGATAGGAAAATAAAACCATAGCCTTTCTTGTTTTCCCAAGTAAACTTTTTAGTCCATTAATATTCTACTTAGTTCATCAGAGCATTGATTCATAGACTTTCAAGGGTAAAGAATTATCCATGGAAGTTTTTTTTTGAAAAAAGCAGATTTCTGGGGCAAGTGGCCCAGCGGTAAAACATGATGCTTCATGATTGCTAAAACATGAAACCAACCCAAATGTTCATGAAGAGATGAATGGATTGAAAAAGTGTGGCACATATACTCCATGGAATACTATTCAGCCATGAAAAAAACAAGACCCTACCATTCGATAGAAATGGTTGAATATACAGGATTTATTGCTGAGCGAAGTGAATCAGGCTATGAAAGAGAGACATTGCATGTCTCCACTTAACATATACCTACTGTCTACACACTGTGGTACAGACTGAAAGACTGGAGGACATAAAAGCATTGAAAATAGTTATGGACACTGGAGACAATATGGAAGAAGAGTTGGAGAAAAGGAAGAGTACAGGGAAGGTAATTAGGGAGAAAAAAATAGAGAGGTAAGACATGTGGGACAGAGAATGTTTTATTATCTGTTGATGATGTGCACAGTTTTCTTAGCTGGACTGGTCTGAGTATATTTCATGTTGGGTAAATTCTATATACAAGTTAAATGATGTACAGCAATTGAATGTATAAATAACAATAATAATAATAATAACATGATGCTCTGTGAGGCTCTGATCTGCATGAAGAGGTTCCAGGTTCGCATCTGGAGACCTCCCTGAGGATGCCAGGCACACATGTGCCCACAGTCCAGGGCTGGCTGAAGCTGAGGGTAGATTGTGGCATTTAGACCCTGTTTGGAGTACTGTCTTTCTCTCTCCCATTTTTTCTCTCTCTTGCTCATGAAGAAATAAAATTTTTTAAAAGGGTGGACTTTTTCTTTTTAAAAGTTGTTATTTTTCTTTTTCTTCCATGAACGAGACAGAGAAAGAAGGGGAAAGAGAAAGACAGCCACCCTCCCTACAGGGTCTTTGTGTCACAATCCTCACTCAGTTCCAGCCAGTCCAGATCACAGGCATGCATGCGCACAGCTGGTGTGTTCAAGGAGGTCCTTTTCTCATGCCTGCCACCACCTGACCCTTAAAAAGCAGATGTCCAGAGATTCTGTTGCCATTGTTTTGGGAATCTACTTTTGAACATACTTCTCAGGCTCCATTGGACATTTTCTAAAAATGGCATCTGAATTTATTCTCCAGAATGAACCCTATGAACTAGAAATGTATATCTTTAAAGGGAGCCTTTGACACTGTTCTTGCTGATAAAATAGAGCCATTACTATCCAATGACATAAATAAGTACTGATGTAAGATGTTATGTGATACCCAAAACATCAATCCAAAAAACACATGACATTCCATGATTGATCACTAGTGGTGTAAATCCGATTATAGGCATTTTTTTTATGGCCTGTCTAGTTGTGTTTGACTTTGAGATGATAATTTTTCATGAAAATAGAATATTTTAAAATTTTAACAAAAATATTCTGTAGAATTGACAAGCATTTGTTAAAAATAATAGACTGTAGTTAATTGTAGCTATAAAAATGTCATTTTATGGTTAAATGCACTTACTTGAAGGAGTAAACTGCTCTACTTAGGAATATAGTTCATGACATTAAATCTTAATTGCAAATTAGTTTCATTTGTATGCAGTTAATATTTTCAAAGGCAGGAATAAAACTTGTTCCAGAAAACTGGTTAAGTATTTCTATCTGGGATAATTTTAAGAACTAAAAGTCCAAATTTTACCATTTCTTGGTAGTAGTTTTACAAAATATCATTAAGACTCTTCTGGTTTTAAATAGTATATGTCTGGTATTGCAGCCTCTTCTCAGGTAGCGGAAAAATATTTATAATGACTGCAAAACAAACAAACCAACCATAAAGCTGAAGTATACTCAAAGCTAGTGGCAGCCTGTGTCGTGGTGTATGCTTATAATCCCAGCCAGTTAGGGGGCTGAGGCAGGAAGAGTGAGTTCTAGACCAGTCTGGGCAATAAAGTGGGATCCTATCTCCATAAAAGCATAAATTAATGGGGCCAGCCCCATAGTGTAGCTATTAACTCTGCTCAGAAGAAACCAATTCCACATGGTTGAAAGGGATTCAAGTCCTGTCTCTGGTGGCTTGGAAAACACAGTGGGCATTTATCTACATGAATCTGACCACATGGAGAACTAGGGGAAAAGGACTGTAGAGTGACCAGACCCCATTGAGGGTGCGTTCTTTTTCCTTCCCTCTCTTTCTCTCTCCCTCTCTCCTGTACGCATGCTTCTGGCACACAAATCCCTTTTACAATATAATGACATTAAAATATTTGTGATCACCTTCATGATCTATACACCTTCCAATGGGCCCCACCTCCAAACACTATTGCATTTGAGATTCAGTTTCCTTCACGTGAGTTCTGAAGGACACATCCAAACCATAGCAAAAGGCATATATTGGCAAAGATGAAAGGACAATAGTATGTGTGTAGGAAGGAATAATAAAGGATTTGATTTTTAGAAGGTCATATTGTAGTGTAAATCTGTATTAGAGACACTAAAGAACAGAATTTATAGTACATAAAAATAAATCCGGGGGGTGGGGGCAGCTGGATGGTGTGGTGGTTGGATCTCACATGGCCAGCTGGATGGTCTGAGTTTCAGAGTTGGTGGCTTGGAAAATATGCTGGGTGCATGTGTGTGCATGCCCACAATCTCCAGATGAGAATGGAAGAGAAGGGATTGTGATGTGGCCATTCCCTCAGAGGGTGACTTCTCATTTTCCCTCTCTCATTCTCTTTCTCTGCCTCTCTTCAGTGAACACATATACCCTGTAGTAAAACTAAAAAATAAAATCAGGGATATGACATAAAATAGGGAATTCTTTCAATACTAAGGAAAAGAACAGTTGAATAATATGACTATTTTAAAGCTGGAAAATAAACAGAATAGAAATTATCTAAGAATGATAGGGCCTTAGAAACAAAGACAATTGAAATTAAGAAGTAATTAAAGGAACATTATTTGTTGACCATAGCATGTATGTTGATGTGCTTGATGGAGCCAATAAACAGTGTACTCTGGATGGAAAATCTCATTTT